CACACACACACACACACACACACACACACACACACACACACACACACGAGTAGAAAAGTCTGCACACCGATTCATCTGCTCCGGATGTTTCCCGACGAGACATCGGCCTGACATCCGCAGACAGCTGGTTTGTTATCCACCCAGCAGATAGGGACAGACTGAACACAGCCAGATCTACACACCATTACGTGGCTTCACCTCTCATAATCATAACGCCTCGTCAACAAACACAACCCGACAACACACACATCAGAGTCTTTTCTAAAGTCTGTCCCTCTCACAGATTGAAATCGACCAAGCTAACCACCTGGAGTTGGACGACACCCAAGACACAATATGCTGTCTCAGATCTTTATGCGGAAGTGTTATAAATAGTAAGGTGTTTGGGAAGTAGTGAGCCTAAAACTGGAAGAATGAGACTCGGATTTCACTGAGAGAGTTTGTAAACAAGTGTTTTGATATAGTTTTGCTTTTGTTAAACGCACAAGTCTTGGTTCACAAAGAGGCATGCGGAGAAATACAGTTTCCTTCAAGCATTCAAGGTAACACAGGGTGAGTGATTGATATACTATTTGAATAAATCCAAAATAGCAGATAAAACACGATAAGGACGGCATGCAACGCTGAAATTTCATTGGCACGAGTGACAAAATCAGCAGGCTCTCCCTTCACAGGTATCAGATAAGGATGACGGAGATGGGACTCACTCCAGATGTGGAGTGTGCACCCTGCCAACATTTTTACTGTAGATAAACATCTGTAAAAACAATGGGTATCAAACATCACCTCCGCCTCCTCTTCACCTTGAGCACGGCTCAAGCAAACCTGTTTGAAGGCAACAGGTCTCTGTGATATTAACATGTTCAAAGGATTAAGAGGATCTTATCAGATTTGCTGCTAAATGACGCAAAGGCGCGTCCTCAGGTGTGATCGAGGAGAAGGTGGTGCATTTTGAACAGGCCATAGAACACCTGCCCCCATGCATGTGCTTAAAAAACAACTGACAAACCAGTTCCTTGTATTCAACCATACAATTATGTCAAAAGACGGAACAGCCCACGCTTCACACAGTCCTCGATACCTTTGACTCTCAGACTAGGCTCCGGCGGTCCTTCGCCGGGTTTCGGTCTCGGCTTCGGCAGCCCGGATGACACCGGCTTGTTTTGGAACAGCGCGGCGGTCTTTATGCCTCATCTATCAATGCTTGTAAATTAGTACAAGGACTACGTGGAAAAGGTCAGCCGGCTTACACAAGCACACGTTATAAGCCAGAAGAAGGTCAAAGAGACAGTCCAAATATCGGAGGCCTGCTCTTTAACTACCTAATAACTATCTAATAGCAGTCATTGCATCATATGTTTAAGCCCTCCCAACATATTTGCGGTCTCGCACCTTATTATGCAACAGTGAAACAACGGCAACATACACACCTTTAAGAAAACCTGATTGTTGCCCACTGCATTTTATAAACTTGCCGTCATCGACCGACAGCTAGTGTGTTAAAGAGAGCTGCAGAAGCACAGCGGTGAGGCTGAACTGATCTGTGTGGAAGAACTGTCTCGAGGAGAACCGTTGCATTTGGTTTGCCGATCGTCTTTGGCGTTGGTAAAGACTTCTAGTTGAACTGGGAGGGACAGAGTTGTCCTTAACTCAGTCAACCACAACGCAGACAGATGTCTGTGATGTCCTCAGGTCGACATCTATTGACGGTTTTGTCAATTCTGTGTGAAATCCAAAACTTGGTATCTTTTCTTAATGATCTTACACAGTGGCTGTGTCAACTGAAAATTGGTTGCAAAATACACGTTAATCTGCGTCCAGCTTCTTGAAATGCTGCTCCACCTAAGGCCACATTCTTTGAACGTGACAGCTTGAACCATGTTGTGGATAATCACGGCTAATCGCTGGTTGTATAGCACAACAACTACAGTCCAATGCCTCCCATGATGTAGCGGTTTCAGGAAGTTCGATTGAACCGGCCTTATCTTTTAACATTTGTTTGTTTAAACATGGCACTTGACACTGGATGTTAAGCAAACATTTTCAAAAAAACAAGAGCACACACACAAACACGCTCAGCGCTGTCCCTCTGAAAAACAAAAACACAGTCCTCCGTCTATGAGGGAAGCATTTTAAGGACATCAACTTCACTTGTTTTTTTTGCCTTAGCTGGTGGGGTTCCAGTCATCCAACAGGTTTAAAAAAAAGGTAAAACTCCTGTGGGAGTGGGAGGAGGAGGCAGTACCTTTGGTACACTCCTGCCTCATCAGTTACTAATAGGAAACGTTCACACACCGACATTCATTTTAGACTAGTGCAGGTTTTAATTATATTGGTTTAGAAGGTTAATGAAATTGTGTTGTTAAAATGTACTAATGGCTTGTAGCGATTAGTCGATTGACAGAAAATGAATCTGCAACTATTTCAATCATTAATTCATAATTTCAGTCATTTTTCAAGCGGAAACGTCAAACATTTTGCAGGTTTTAGCTTCTACAAAATGAGGATTTTATGCTTTTCTGTTTCATTTTCTTTGCAATAAAATATTGAACAAACACAACGAATGTTACATCGTCTTTATCTTAACTCCAGATGTTCTCGACCTCATAACTCCCTGCATGCCTGACAACAGAATGACGGAGAGCTGACACTGTTGACGTATAAGAAGTCTGTTTCACCTCCATCAAACGATCTAAACACAGTACGGCAGGCTAACAGACGGCCAATAGTGTAATTCACCATGCAGATAATAAAGACTGGATGCTCCCATATGGTTAAAATGTTAAAATGCTCCCATCATTAAAAAAAAAATGCAATGGCATCATGTCTTTAGGCTCTTAAAATCAAGATCAAAGGAGAAATTAAAGAATATGGTGGGAGGAAATGGAGGAATTACTCACCAACGGCCGGTTTAAGAGTAATCAGACCTTTGCACAATGGGCAAACACGGCATCTCTCCTCGTCCTTATTTGACAAAGTAAAGTGCTTTCCTGCGTGCAGTCAGTGACATGATTCCCTTTGTGTGGACACCAAATCAGTTTTTCCACAACACGTATTTACTCGTCAGGTGCAGCCAAAAAAAGTTATGGCGCTGGTGGGCTGGTGAAAAGCGCGCCTCAGTGACCTGTATTACAGCCGGATGGGACGGGGGGAAGGAGCACCAGAGGGTGGGACGGAGGAACAAGCAAAGCTGGATGGACATTTCTTTGCAACAACACAGTGCTACTACCCCCACAATATTTAAATACACTTCTGTTTACATGTCTATTTTAAAACACGTAACATGCTTCAGCTCTTATTAAGCAGGAAAACTTACTATACAGTTAATAAATATCCACAGCCAGAGGGATTATAGGAGGAGAGGTGACTGAAATTATTACTGTCTCACTGAGCTTTCTGTTGTTATTATTGCTTTGTCTGTCAAAGGACTTTGTAAACTCTGTTTTTAAAGGTGCTATATAAATAAAGTTGTTATTATTATTACTATCATCAGCAAATAAGTTAAACCTCAACCTTAAGGAAAAGAGTATCAGTCTACAGCGGGTGAGCGGTGGAAGGAGGAACTGTATCTTAGTTTGGTTGTGTTAGCAGGCTAACATTAGCTAATTGGTCGGGCTATCACAATACCGTCGTTGGGCCATATATTGTCCCAGAGATAAACAATGCTTTTGTCATTTTAACACCATCTATGCCACTAATATAATGATAATTTAATAGCATAATAATGCAAGTGTAGCCTCAGCAATTGGAATAGGAATGTCACCACTTTAAATTAAACAAAATAAAGCCACACAACCAAAATAATAATTAACTCTTGGGCTCTGTAAACAAAAATGCACAATGTCTGCACAATGCCCAAAACGTATTATGGAGGTGAAAACACTGCTGTATTCTGACATCATTTTGGCTCAAATGTTCTCATGTAAACAAGCAGGCATGTGAACAACAGGCAATATCAAGGAAAGCAATTATGATCAAGGTCATGTAAGAATCAAAGAAACCGGCCTACTAATTGGTGCTAAACTCCACGGACAGCTAAGACGTTTGGGGAAGTATGTGGTCATAAACCAAAGTATTGGACAAGTAACCCGGTGATTGCACTAGAGCAGGGGTGTCAAACTCATTTTCACTCTGGGCCACATCAGCATCATGGTTTCCCTCAAAGGGCCGGTTGTAAATGTAAGACTGTATAACTGTAACTACTCCCTAACATATTGTTAAATAACTCTCTCTGCATTTGATTATTGTTTAT